CCGAGAGGCACCCCAAGAGAGGTCCAAGAAACAAAAATCGTGCCATTCCTATGGGAAAACGTATATTTTCGCATGTTCGCATCTTGGGCTTTCACCGCGTCCAAGACGGCCCAAGAGGCCTCCAAGACCGCCCCAAGACGGCCCAAGAAGCTTCCAAGAGGGCCCCAGGACAGCCCAAGAGGGCCCCAAGACGGCCCAAGAGGCGCCCAAGATGGCCCAAGAGGGCCCCAAGACGGGCCCAAGAGGGGGCCCAGAGGGGGACCACGAACCGCAAGCTCGAGCCTTCCGCCCCAAGAGGCCGCCATGAGGCCCCAAGGAGGCCCCTCAAGAGGCCCCAGGAGACCCCCAAGAGGCCCAAAGGAGGCCCCGAGAAGCCCCAAATCGGCTCCCAAAATGCTTCGAATCTGCTTCCAGGAAGCCCCCGATAGGTTCAGAGGCTCCCGAGAAACTACGTCAAACTCCCAGCGAGCGGCCGGACGAGGCCCCCCACAAAATCACAAGAGGGTTCCAGTATTTGTATCCTTCAGCGCTCTCTGGCCTTCTTCCACCTGCCCCCTTCTCTGCGACTTTCGTTGACTCAAGCTCGCCTCCTAGCTAGAACCTAAGCGCGCGCGAAGCGCGCGCGTGGTTCTAGTTATTATTTTATGTCCCGCACGCCCGACCCGACCCGTCCCGCCCGCTTGGGTCCGCCCGACCCGACCCGACCCGTCCCGCCCGTTAGGGTCCGCCCGCCCGACGGACCCGTCCCGCCCGTTATGGCATTCGCGTGCCATCTCGATGACGCATCATTATTAAATGTCTCGCCCGCCCGACCCGACCCGAACCGCTCGTTAGGGGCCGCCCGCCCGACCCGACCCGTCCCGCCCGTTAGGGCCCGCCTGCCCGCCAGACCCGTCCCGCCCATCAGGGTACTCGCCTGCCAACTCGATGGTGTGTCATATTTTGATGTATCGCCCGCCCGACCCGACCCGCCCGTTGGGGTCCGCCCGCCCGACCCGATTTGTCCCGCCCGTTAGGGTCCGCCCGCCCGCCGGACCCGTCCCGCCCGTTAGGGTATTCGCGTGCCAATTCGATGGCGCATCATACTCCAATGTCTCGCACGCCCGACCCGACCCGTCCCGCCCGTTAGCGTCCGCCCGCCCGACCCGACCCGTCCCGCCCGGTAGGGTCCGCCCGCCCGCCCGACCCGTCCCGCCCGTTAGGGCATTCGCGTGCCATCTCGATGGTGCGTCATATTGTAATGTCCCGCCCGCCCGACCCGACCCGTTCCGCCCGTTTGGGTCCGCCCGTCCGACCCGACCCTTCCCGCCCGTTAGGGTACTCGCGTGCCAACTCGATGGTACATCATTTTTTCATATCCCGCACGCCCGACCCGACCCGAACCGCCCGTTAGGGTCCTCCCGCCCGACCCGACCCGTCCCGCTCGTTAGGGTCCGCCCGCTGGACCCGTCCCGCCCGTTAGGGTACTTACTCGCGTGCCAAGTCGATGGTGCATCATACTTTAACGTCCCGCCGCAAGACCCGACCCGACCCGTCCGTTAGAGTTCCGCCCGACCCGACCCGTCCCGTCCGTTAGGGTTCGCCCGCCCTCCGGGCTCGTCCCGCCCGTTCTGGCATTCGCGTGCCAACTCGATGATGCATCCTACTTTAACGTCCCGTCTGCCCGACCTTCCTGGACCCGACCCGCCCGTCAGGGTCCGCCCGCCCGACGCGTCCCGCCCGTTAGGGTAGTACTTTAATGTCCCGCCCGCCCGACCCCTCATCCCTCCCTCATCCATCACCTCGTCGTCGTCGTCGTGGTCGTGGTTGCCGGCGTCGGCACCGTCGTCGTCTTCTCGTCGTCCTCGTCCTCGTCCTCGTCGTCCTTGTCGTCGTCATCGTCGTCTCCGTCGTCCTCGTCGTCGTGGTCGTCGTCGTCCTCGTCGTCGGTGCCTTCGTCGTCGCCGTCGCCGTCGTCGCCGCCATCGTTGTTGTCGTCGTCGTGGCAGAGACGGATCCAGGGAAGCGGTTCCGGGGAAGCGTTTTTGGGGAAACGGTGCGCCGTGGAAACGATTCCAGGGAACCGGTTGCCGGGAAACGGTTCCGGGGAAACGGCTTCGGGGAATTTCGGATCCAGGTAAACGGTTCTGGGGAAACGTTCCCAGGGAAACGGAACCTGGCAAACGGTCCCGGGGAAACGGTCTTCCGGGGAAGCGGCCCCCGGGGAAGCGGTTCCGGGGAAACGGTTCCCGGGGAAACGGTCTCGTATCAGATGGGCGTCCAGCGCCGATCTTAATGATGTTCCAGCCTGCTTAGCCGTCTGCTTAGCCGTTAGCCTGGATCACCAGAAAGGATTTCGAGCACCAAGACAGTACCGAAACTCCAGGGTTTTCACATCTCGGGCCCTGGGAGATACTCGTTCGACACTGTTTCGACACTTGTTCTATACTTTTCTGGGTGCTCGAGATTATTTCTGGGATCGTGTCCTTAAGTACGATGGGAATAACATAAGCCGACCCAAGAAGTCCGCGCGGACCTCCGAGAGTTCATGTTCATGTCGTTGTTTATGTTTCCAGAAGTCCCCTCGGTTTCGAAGTCCAGAGATCTAAATCCCTGGATCTCACAGCCATCGAAAACAGGCTCATCCGAAGGAACATCCTGTAGGCCTCGCGCGGCACACAATAGTGGTGTTATCTAGTACACACGTCCGCGCAAGTCCGGCGTGAATCCGACGTGAATCCGACGTATGTCCAGCATAATTCGAAGTGCGCCCGACGTAAATGCGACGTTTCCGACGTAAACCCGACGTAAGTTTGGCATATTTCGAAGCGTGCAAACCGTAAGTCCGACGCGGATCCGACGCAAATGGGGTCTCAAGTTGTCGGATCTCAAGTTGCCGAGGCTTCCACCTGTGTGAGAGCCCGTGCCCGAGGCCGAGCCTGGCTAACATGTGTTACAGTCAACCCGCATAGTAAGGATGGGTCACCTACCCAAGGGTACCTTTGCATCCCTGCCTCCTCGGTCCATCCCTGGCCACTTTCAAAAGCTTCGACATGGGAATCCAAGGCCCTTGCATCCTTACCGCGCATCCTTATTATGCGGGTTGACTGTACAGTGCCGTTTTTAATACATGCTCCGCGTGCGGATCATGTAAGTATTAAAAATGCATGGGTAAAGTATTAAAACCAACGATGAGCTCATGCAGAACTTTTGTCCATACACGAATCATGTATTCAGAATGATATATTTTCAAAATCCCATGTATTAGAACCTGCCCTGTATCAAGTCTTCCGTTTTTTCTGCCCCTCAGGATGTGAGGTTCGAGGCTCGAGGTCGCTACGCGTTCCCGTGTTTCTCTCGCTGCCACGGCCGGACTCCCCTCGAGATGCTCGTCAGAACGTACTGCCCGGGGAGCACCAGGGGACCTGGCACCGCTCGGACGTGTGCATTTTTTCTTGGCGGGGATTATTTAATCGCTTCGCTCATTCCGCCGGCCCCCATGGAGCGCTCTTTGGGGCCTCTTGGGGGCCTCTTGGCGGCCTCTTGGCGGCCTCTTGGGGGCCTCTTGGGGCCTCTTGGGAGCTTCTTGGGGGCGTCTTGGGGACCTCTCGGGGCCGAGAGCTCGGCAGGGATTATTACGGAGCATCCTGGATCATCCTGCGAGAAAGCCACGCACGAAACCGAACGAAAATTCAGGGCATGGACGCGCGAGCGACGGGGAGGGGAAGGCTTGGATCTCCCACGACAAGAGGTTTTTGCCAACAAGTGGCCTCCGAGGACCCTAGCTGGGCCCACGGGCCGTCAGAGATTGCTGGACATGGAAGATCCGTTCCACGAGTGCTTTTCAGCCAACGTGGCATGACCACCCCGAGGTTTTGGCAGTCTCTCGGGCCCCTCTATGGCAGGTTCGCGCAGCGTTGACGTGGCTGCGACGACGGCACTGGCGTTCCAGGGTTCAACGCCGCCGGCGGCCCAGAATCGGCCGACATCGAGCGACCCGCGCTATCGGAAAGCCGCGATCGAGGAAGCTGAACGGTCAGGTTGTCAGATGTCCGGGTCGGCCGATGGGGGAGAACGGGAATGATGAGGCTGGGGAATCGGCTGCACGCAGCTGGTTTCGGTCCCGCCGCTGGGCGCCTTCCTCGATGCACTGGCGCCGGGAGGCGCTTGAGGAACCGGCTACCTGAGCTGTCGGGGCTCGAGAGACGGGGGTCAATGCAAACGGGGGCCAGTCAGAGCGCCAGAGTTTGCAGGATCCTGCAGGGCCAGGGCTGCACTGGCCCGGGTCAGCGTCCAGGACCGTGTGGGATCTCGCAGGAGCTCGCAGGATCCCGGAAGGCCTGACTGGCCCGGGTCTGGGTTGACCCGGGTCAGCAGGTCCCCGAAGCTGATTCGCCAGCTCCTCCTTTGCTCTCCGAAGCTGATTCGCCAATTCCCCCTTTGCTCTCCCCGCCAGCGTCCGGCCCAACATGCCAGCTTGCATGCAGTCGCGACGCGAGCTCGCCGTGGCCCCCTCCCGCCGCTTCGGCATCTCCTCCCCCTTGCTCAGGAGCGAAAGAAGGACGTACGGGCGGCCCAGACTAGTAGGTCGACCCTGCCAGATCAAGGGTACGCTCGTGTGCTGTGTCTTGCGACCCATGCCTCCTGCATTTCTGTGGCAACGTGGCCCTCGGAAGGGTCTTATGTCCTCTCGCGTGTCCTCTCCAATCAAGTCCCACTGCACACGTACATGAATCCACCTCGGTTTCGGGAATGCGCGCTGCGCGAATGTTCGCATCACGCGGCCAGTCTCGCGGATTGGAGGGCCGCGTTCATGCACGTGGTTGGGCGCGTACGTCCTCTGTGGACTTTTGTTTTCCTCCTCCTCCCCCTCTCCTCCTAACTTTTTACATGTCTCGCATTGCATGAATCCAGACACATCAGATCCTAGAGGCCATGGCCTCACCCACCTGGTCTGCCCTAGGCCCGGACGCTGTCCGCAACGGTGGTCGCATCGCATCGCTGGCCCTCCCGCGCGACAGGGCAGTGGTCCGACGACCGGGCGTGCGGGTTCGGCCAGTTCGTCTACGCGAACGGCAACGTGTACGATGGCCCGACCGCCCTCGGATGCTCAGGAGGGAAAGAAACACACAGACACAATTAATCGGCGATTCCCCAGAAAATGTGGAAAATATGGGAAGTGGGGGGGGGAAGACAAAAACCCAGGAAATGTGGGAAGATATGGGGAATCTGTTTAGTTGTGTGTCTGTATTTGTGTGTCCTGGGGCCCCCTGTAGATGCCTCCGATCGGCGGCGCGCTCCGTCAGGGGGGGAGGCTCGAGGCTCGAGGTTTTCGGGCGCGCTCGTCGGCTCTCGGCGGTCTTCCAGGCTCGGGGTGCTCTTCAGCGGCTGCGCCTCGCCGACGGCCCGGGAGGCCGGAGGAGGAGGAGGAGCAGGAGGAAAGGAGGAGGAGGAGGAGGAGGAGGAGGAGGAGGAGGAGGAGGGGGAGGAGGAGGAGGAGGAGGAGGAGGAGGAGAGGAGCAGGAGGAGGAGGGGGAGGAGGAGGAGGAGGAGGAGGAGGAGGAGGAGGAGGGGGAGGAGGAGGAGGAGGAGGAGGAGGGGGAGGAGGAGGAGGAGGAGGAGGAGGAGGAGCAGGAGGAGGGAGCCCAAGGTTCGGCCCGAAGACCAGGCCTGGCGGCGCGCCGAGGCAGGGAGCGTGCAGAGGGGGCGGGCCTCGTCTCAAGGCCCCCTGGCACCGCTCGGAGGTGTGTGTTTTTTTCTCGGCGAGGACCCTTGAGGAACATCCCTAGGGGAACAACAACAAGTGGCATAAACAGAAACAACTCGGAGGTCCGCACGGACCTCCGAGTTTTTATGTTTATGTCACTTTTTGTTCCTTTAATCCTGGATCATCGAGCGAAAAAACACGCACGAAACCGAACAATGCACGGGAAATGGACGTCCGAGCGACGGCAAGCATGCGGCTGGACTGCTCGGAATCTCACAGGCCCCCGGCCTTCGGAAAAGCCCTCTGTGGCCTCGGCAGTGCAGTGCAGTGCAGGTCCGATCGCGCGCAGAGGCCGCACGCGCCCCACAAGTGGAGACGGCGGCGGAAAATAGGCAATGAGACACACCCCTCGGTGGCGAGCAGGCTGCTGCGAGCTCACGAAAGTCACAGAGTCGTCCTCGGCAGGGGGCCTGGAAACGGAAGGCCCGCCCCCCTCTGTCCAGGGAGGAAAACCACCCCGACCGGACAGTTGGCGTTTCCTAAACGGCCCTGGGCGTTCACTATATAGTCTTGCCCTGTTGGATTCCTTCTTTGAGTGCTTGTACTAAACGGCTTCGCGTGTCGGGGTATTTATTATCGGGGTGGATTTTCTGCCCTCTGCTCTGCCTTCCCCCCCCCCCTGGGCGCGCCGCCGATGTCTGCGCGCGCAGTCAGAGCAGTTGCCGCGGAGGGCAAGCAGCGGCACCAGGGCGGTTCCCAGCGGCTTCGTGCGGGGGGGGGGGGCGTCCTCCCCTCGCGGGGCGGGGCCTCCGAGGGCTGTGCCTGTCCAGCGTCCGAAGCGTGCAGTCGATGGCTCCTTCGAGTGGTCTCGAGGAGTCCCGAGTTGGGGGGCTCGGGTCAGGCCTCGGCAATCCACGGCGCCCTCTGGCCTCGAATGGCCATGGCGCGGGCCCTCGTCCTCTTCGTGGTTTCCCTGTCCAGGTCAGCTCACGCAGGCCCATCGGGATTAGGCTTGGCCAGGTGCACCGGGGTCCATGGATGCTCCGGCAAACGGCCAAGCGGTAGGGAGGTGTTCTAGATTCGGTGAAGGTGCCCCGGATATACCCCGCGATAATCAAGTTCGGCCTCGCCGCCCCTCTCCACAATAAAATCCTGCAGAACCGGGGATGATAATCACTTAGGGGGTAAGGGGGGGCACTCTTTATACTCGGGGGGAAGCGATTAATAAACACAATTCTCCATCATGATGTTGTTTTCCTTGCGATTTACAGAGGCAGACAGACAGACAGACACAGACAGACAGACAGACAGACAGAAAGACAGACAGACAGACGTGCCCTCAGACAAATTGACAGAGATAGGTACATGATCATGAGGAGAGAGAGAGAGAGAGAGAGAACAAACAAAAACTAAGAAACATAAACAAACCATAGAAGACGAGAAGGAGGCGGAGGACGAGGGCGAGAAGGAAGAGGAAGAGCAGGAAGAAGAGGGTGAGAAGGATGAGGTGCCGGAGGATGTAGAGGAGGGGAAAAAAGAGCTGAAAAGGATGAGTTGGGGAGGGAGAGGAGTGGAGGAAGGGAAAGGAGGAGCAGGAGGGGTCTGATGGGGATGGGGGGGGTCGGAGGGGAATGTGCGGGAAAGGAAGGAGGACATTTGGGAGAGGAGGTGGTGGGGCAGTTATGTGGGAAGAGGAAGGAGGGGGAGGAGGAGGATGGGGAAACTGGTGATGAGCAGTGGAGGGAGGAGGGGGTGAAAAAGTATGAGGGAAGAAGAAGAAGAAGAAGGTGGTGGGCGACTGGAAACGTCCTGGGCCCTAGAAAGGAGTGGATGGTACTAGATGTGTGTTGCGCTTCATCGGAAGTGGTGGCATGGACAAGCACTTCATGGCCAAGTCGACATCAGGAGGAAGGTGAGCGCGAGGAATGAGGATGGGGAGGGCGAGGAATCAGGAGGAGAAAAAACAGCTTCAGCATTTGACGCTGTAATAAAAACTAGTGTGAACACGAGTGTGCACGGAGCAGCAGCAGAAGCATGAGGACAATGGAGTAGAAGGGATGTCGACGCTGGCGGTCAGGAGCCAATGCCATCCCAAGAAGATCATGTCGGGATGGGGTGCCCGCTGAGCACTTGAGGTCCTCATCCCCTCTTGTCCCTCCTCCCGTCCCGCCCTCCTCCACCTCCCCGGGTTTCACCGCCATCCCCTCCCGACTCTCCGCTCCGGTTCACCTCCTCGCTGCCCCCTCCTCCCCTCTTACCAGCCTGGAACATAATCCCTATCCCTATGCTGGGCATCTCCTCATCACGATGCCAATCTTAGGGATTCCCTCATTTTTTGAGGGCGAATCCCTAAGATTGTCATCGCCCTTTGGCGTGTCAATCTTAGGGATAGGGATAAGTTCGAGGCTGGTAACCCTCCTCCACAATTACACAATATGAAAATACTCTCCCACTTCCCCTGATGGCGTCCCGAAGATGGCCGACCCCCCCCCGCGTACTGTTTTTTTACACAGGATTCCCGGGAAACGGGTTTTCGCATGCGTTTTTTTGTTCAGAATGTTGCTCTCGCTGAGGCGCCGGCCTCATTTCTGCTCCCGAATCGTTCCGAATCGTGCTCCCGCTGCAGCGTGGGCCTCATTTTCGGATCGGTGTTTGGCCTCCGTCGTTCAGGATGGCGTTCTCGCCCCAGCGCGGGCCTCTTTCTCGCGCGCCCATCCGCCCGCCACCACCGCGCCGCACCACCACCACCACCACCACCACCACCACCACCACCACCACCATCACAACCACCACAGCACCACCACCACCACCACCACCACCACCACCACCACCACCACCACAACCACAACCACGCACACACGCACGCACGCACGCGCACCACCACCCACTACGCACGCGCGCGCGGAGCCACAGGTCCGCTACGACATGCGTCCGCGGATAGAGAAAATCAGCGCCATGGTAAAGGATGGGAGGGAGGGGTAGGACGTCAGATATGACGCGAGCGCACCTAGCTTGTCCCCTTCCCCTCGCCCTCACCCCCCTCCTCCCTACACCCCCCCCTCTCTCCCAATGCTCCCGCCCCCGCCCTCCCGAGGTTCGCGTCGTGCCAACGCGGCGGCGACCCCGCCGCGGACGTTCAAGGTCGAGCTGGCGATCGATAGCCGCCGATCATTCAACTTGGCATCGCTCGGAAGTGTGCATTTTTCCTTCGGTGAGGACAATCGAGGAGCATCCTTGATCATTTGGCGGAAAAAACCACGCACGAAACCGAAGAAAGCACAGGGAAGGGACGTCCGAGCGATGGCAGACTCACGCGTTTTCAGAAACCAACGCCTAGGTCGTCACGACACGAACCTCCCGTATGGTACAGCGGCCGTCCTGAGATCACGAGGCAGTTGGCGACAGAAGTGCAGCGTCGTGAAACAGCACGACCCGAGCCTTGGACGTGTCTTTCCCCGCTGTTTCTCGCGCTGGACCGATCCGTGAGGGCACCGGGGCCCGAGAGCGGGCAAGCACGCCTGGCTCGAGAAGATGGGGACGCCAGGGCCTCTGGGGTCGTCGCCGACGGCGGCCGGGGCTCCGTGACCGGCAGGGCGTGCCGCCGGGCCTGCGGCGCCGCCCCCTCGGACAGGCCAGTGGCTGGACGACAAGCGGCACGGCAGGGGGCTGTTTAAGTGCGCCGAGGAGCGCGCTGGCCCGAGCGAGCGGGCAGGAGGAGAATCGTCAGGGGCAGCATCGGGAGGGGGTGGGCTCAGGGGGGAGTGGGCTCGGGGCTCAGGGCTTCGAGGACAGAGGTTCGCTCTCTGGAGAACTCTGATCCTCCTGGGGCGCTCTCGTGACCACGGCTGGATCGGCTTCGAAATTCTGGTCCAAACGCGTCCCAAGGAGATGTCCAGGGATTGATGTTTGACCCCGAGGTTAGTGGTTGGAGGTTTTCAGACGTTTTCGTCGGATCTCTGTGGTTTTCAAGCCTCGGTATGCTCTCCAGCAGCTGCGCCTCGCCGAGTGCATTGTCGCGGTGACCAGATCTGCCCGAACGGCCGCCGGAGGCCCGAGTTATGGCCCGAGAACCAGCGGGGATGGGGATAATTAGGTTTCGGAGGGGACTCATCGACCTCCCGATCGCCCAGGAGGAGGGGGAGGAGGAGAGGAGGAGAGAAGGAGAGGAGGAGAGGAGGACAGGAGGAGAGGAGGAGAGGAGGAGAGGAGGAG